ATGAATAATATTTATTTTTTTAATTTCAAATAAAAATAAAACATATTTTTAATTCAAGATGAAAATGAAATATATATTTTAAGTTAAAATAAGAATAAAATATATTTTAAATTGAAGATAAGAATAAATTTTTTTTTAAAATTAAAATTAAAATAAATTATATTTTTAAAAGTTAAATATAAAATATCATAGATTTTAAGTAAAGTATTTATATTCTACGATACAATATATAATACAGGTTGTTTACTCCATGCCAAATGGTACGCTTACCTTAGTTGTTTGATGCTTATTTCATTGCATAGGAACATGATGTGACACCATCTAATTTAAGGAGTTAAATTTATTATAACATATTTGAGTTTTTTTGTGAATATTTTGTTTTTATAATGATAATTATATTTTTATAGTGAAACATTTATAATTATATAATACTTTTTTGATGTAATCAAACATGCAATTATATAATTTTTTTGGTGTAAAATGGAGATTAAGATATATAATTGTGATAACATATAAATTTTGTGACAACTTTTATGTAAAAAAATTAATTAGAAAAAATAGATTTGTGACTATATTTTATGAATATAATTAAAATATAGAACTAAAAATTATTTTAAACATTGATCCCAAGACCTAACTTAAAATATTGATCTCTCGTCCCTCTCGTATTCTCACATCAATTTAGTCCTCAAAATTATTTAATTTCATAATCTTATATCCTTATACTAACTTAAAATCCTAAACCTTAAACCATGATCCCTTGACCTCTAAGTCTTAAATCTTGAACCTTAAACATTAACTTAAAACCCTAAACAATAGGAAATATTTTAAACATTGATGCAATTGAGCAACTTCAAAGGCTAAATTGATATGAAAATAAGATAAGGGTAAAAATGATAAATTGGATCTACTAAAGGGGCATAAGTTACCTTTAAACCTTAAAAAAATAATAACTCACATGCATTTTCACAATAAAAATATGATTTCTAAGCTCAAATTATAAGTTTAAAACATTTGAATCTTAGTACATGATTTCTTATTGAAGTTCAAATGCTTAAATATCTTTTTATATTCTTTAAAAAATTCTAATTCATTGTATCTATTAAGGTTGATTCTAATCGTTTTATAGCTTTATTTTTAGCTTTTCAAATAAGACAAGACAGATCATGATTAAACTCAACAGTTTTTTATATTAATAAAATGTAGTTATTTTTACTTTTGAGTAAATTACAAATTTCATAACTGAATTTTTATGTGATTCTTATTTTACTTATCGTACTTTTAAATTTTTCAATTTGTTCAATGAACTTTGTACATTAAACGATTTTTGATCACTCTATCGTTATATCACTAATAGCTCATTGACGTTGCTTATTTTATATTAAAACTCAGCCACATAAGATGTCACATGAGATTTCTATTTAATAAAATAAAAATTAATCAGGCAAATAAAAAACCTAACCCCCTAATTTACACCCAAAATCATATTCCAAACCCTAACCCAATCAGCAAATTAATCAGACATCCATTAAAATTTGCTTATACAACTAATTTGCTGATTGAAAATTTGTAAAATAGGAATAGTGTGAAAGTTCAGTTGTCAAAATTTTTAATTTACCCTTTATTTTTATACCGATTTTATTATAAAATTTGAATAACTTTCAATTATTATGTAAAAATAATATAACATATGATTTGACTCTTAAAATGCTTCCAAAATATTAATATAATATAACTATTGTTTTGTTAACACATTGTAAACTAATGTCTATCATGATCATTTTTAATTTAATCTCATCATTGCGATTGGATATAACCACTATGCTACCATTGATTTTAATCTCATCTTTTAACTAATTTCATTGTTAGAGTAACTAATGTCACGGTCACCATTATTCTCAATCTCATTGGAGTTAAATTACTATCAATCCAAATAAAAAGGTCAATTTGAATGGATAGTGAGATTAACTCCGATATAATTGAAAACAACAATGACAGTGAGACTAATTATTGAAACATTGTGACTGAATCAATAATGTGATGTGTTTAAATTCAATTACAGTGAGAAAAATGAGATGGAGATTAGAACATAACCAAAAATACATTCCACAGAGAAAAAATATATTGTTATATATATAATAAAAAAATTAAAGCCACATATAAATTAAATAAAAATAATATTTATGTTAAATTATAATGCACAAACCAAGCGGCATCAATAATAAATGAATTGTTGTTATTCCTTATGTCTCGAATTGGAGCACCATGAATACCAAGGATGTGAACGTTTGTCATGTCAAAATGATTGAGTTATCTTTGAGCAAATACTACTTTATACTTACTCCAAATTTATAAAAAAAAATTAAATTATAATTAAAATATTAAAGATACATTTATATTAAAAGTATATCATAAAAAAATACTTAAATTGAATTTTATTGATTAATAAAAATATATTGATATCATTATGTTAAATAATATTAACAAAATAATTATTTATATTAACTAAATAATTTAATTTAATATAATATAATATATATTAACAAAATACATCAATACAATTTAAATTTAACCTTTAAATCATAACAATAATAATTTTTATTTAATATTTAAGTCACAAGATGCAAAATTATATATTTTTTGAATTAATAACTAGCATTCGATATATTGATCGACTAATCCAAAATGGGTACTACAGAGGCGATGTTGACCCTCCCAACCCTATTTGCTTAATTAAAAAATACCAGAGTTTGAACCTTTGACAAATATAAAAACTAATATTGATATCATTATGAATACATTTCACTTATAATACTTATTTTTTTTTATCAATCCAGGGCAAGTACATGACAATATCAATTCAAAGAAAACTCTCAGTAATTTGACATTGAACACTTACACCTCTGACATTCCTAGTACTCGAACCCGATACCTCAAACACTTGGTTTTAAAAGGCATAAGGCGCATCTATGCGCAAAAGGTCTCTAGAGCCTATGCGCAATGCACATGTGCGCACCTTTCGTAACCAAGACACATTTTTATACTAAAAAACTTATAAATTAGTTATGGAACTTATTATATACTTAAAATAAATATTATAAACATATTTATGCTAAAAAAACTTTATAAATTAATTGTATGAGTATATTTATACTCATTACCCATCGATTAACTCTTAAAATACTTGGGTCTGTTTGTTTGGCTGTAATTGGTTTTCCAGAAAATAAATTACTGCAATTTAAATTACTGGAATTTGAATTCTGGAAAATGAATTACATTTCTGGAAAATGAATTACATTTCTGGAAAACGAATTACATTTCTGGAAAACATCTGGAAAACGTTTTATGATGTTTGGAAGATGTTATTTAAACTTTTTTTCCACTAGTTGAAGAGTTTTTTAAAAATTATTTATTACAAATATTAAATATAATAAATAATATTATTTATCATAAAACTTAATATTATTATTTTAAAATATTAAAATACTTTATTTATTATTAAATATTATTTTTTATAATTTTATTAATAAAAATATTAATATTGGTATATTTTAGTGAAATAAAATATTATAAATTATATTAATTATTTATTAAAGTAATAGTGTTATATTATATTTTCAAAATATTAATTAGTATATTTTAAATATCTTTACTAAAATATTGTTTAAATATATAAATAATATTATTCATTATTAAATATATAAAAATATTATTATATATTATTAAAATAAAAATATAATATCTTATATTATATTATTATAATATAATTGATTATTTTATATAATATTAAAAATATAATATTATAATATTATAAATATTAATAAATATATTTTAAATATTTTAAAAAATAATATTTTGATGAAAATGATATTAAAATATTTTATTAATATTAAATTCATAAAATAAAATTATTTTGAGTATTTTTGATTTGAAGTGAAAAGTTCGGAAAATGACTTGCGGAAAATGAATCCGTAAGTCAGTTTACAGAAAACACAAAGGAAATTATGTTACTAGGAAAATGAATTACATTCCGGAAAATAAATTACGTGAAACAAACACGGAAAACATTTTCCGGAAAACGAATTACGTGAAACAAACACGGGAAAACATTTTCCGGAAAACGAATTACATTAAACAAACACGGGATTTCGGGGAAAACCAATTACGTAATTGGTTTTACGGCAAACAAACAGACCGATTGTCTACAATGTATTGATTTATACTTAAAGTTTTTAATGTTTAAAACTATTATTTTATTTATTTTTATAAACAGATTTTGATCACTTTTCACAAAAATCTACACTGTTATTAAATTATACTTATTTTTTAATTATTTAAAACTATTATTTCATTTATTTTAGATGTCACAAATTTATTTTATTATCAATTTAAAATTTATAATTATTATAAAAAATAATTTTTATATTTAATATAATTTATTAATTAATTAAATTTTATTTAATATTTTATTATTTTAAAAATTAAAAATAATTATGTATTATTAAATAACTAAATTTCTAAAAAAGATCATATAATTTGACTTAAAAACATACAAAGAGTAGAAGAAGTTATAATGATTTATTATAAATAAATAAACATTAGAGTTTAACTATAAATTTAGGCTATAGGATTGGGCTTGTTATTAGGTCAAATATTATAGTTAAGAAATGATAATGTGATAAAAGAAAAAATTTCGAGCATTCTTCAATCGTTTTCTTCCTTTATTACTACTGTAATTTTTTTTTTATCTTCTTTCCTCTTTAATATCTTTAAAAAAAATTCGAAAGGGCGCTGTGCCCGACGCCTAAAGCCCAGAGGTGCGCGCCTCTTGTATCTCGCCTCATCCCAGGTTGGCGCCATCTTCAGTGCCTGGTTGCGCCTTGTGCCTAGGCACACCCGAGGCGCGTCTTTTAAAACCAAGCTCAAACAATAACAATAATTTATTATTTACTGATAATACTCCATGAATGAAAACATTGAAGATCATTAAATCAAAACAATGAATCAAAAGTAATAGTGGATAAAAAAAGGGTTCGTTACTCTCATGAAAGTTGATGGGTTCAAAATCCAAATGCACCTTTAACAAACTTGTTCATATTCCTATGTTCAATGACAATGACAAAATGAAGATTCCTGGCTTTTAACCATTCATCTTCAAAAACCAGCCCAAAACCAAAAAGTTAAACTCCGAGACGTATCTCCAAAAGGTCATTTACTCAACAAAACTGGCGTATGAAGCCAACTGATTACCTGACTTTTAACAATTCAGCTTCAAAAACCAGCCACGAGTTTGGTGGAATATCCTCACTTGTTCCTTCCTTTGTAAAGCTGCAAAAACAAACCAAACCAAACTCAAGACCATACAGAAACAAGCTTCGGGTACTATTTTCACATACCTAACTGATGGTGGAACTTTGAGTCTACGTTTGCCACCGACTCGCATTCCTACAAATCAACATTATTTATTTAAACCATTATCATAAATACTTCAAACGCCGTTAAGTTAGTGATAATCAGAAGTTCATACCATCAAGGCCAACCTTCCATAGCTCTGGAACTTTTCCCTCAGCTGTAATAGCAACAAAGCTATAACTCCAACTTAAAACTTTAAAACCAAATATATATACAGAGCATGATTAAACAAAAGATATTACCTAGTCGGAACGTTAAGTGACCTTTGTCAGCACTTGAATCAATTACTTCCCCACTGTCCTTCAACTTTAAGGTGTAATGGACACGGACCTGGTTGCAAGAATTCTTTGTGAATAATCTCATTTAATTTAGCACAATTTGTAAAATACAAATTCCTTTAATCCAAAAAACCATCATGGATAAACTACATGCCTTTTTACCAAGAGAAACTATTTTCCCATTTGGTTTTCCCATTTCCATCTCTTCAATGATAATTCCATTCGACAGCTGAATTTCCTGGTTATTAGTATTCTTGTCTTTCGAGTCCACAACAGATTGCTCCTTTGTAGGGGATGATAAGACAGGTGGTTCCATCTTCGTAGCATCCTCTTCTCCCTCATCCTTACACCTTCTCTTCTTTTTCCTCTTCTTAGAATGACTTTAAGAAAAGAAAAACAAAGTGAACATCACCATTTAAGACTCCGAAAAATAGCAAATGAAAATGATTGGAACAAGAAAACAATTTCATCAGGTATATTCGTAGTCATGCAAGTCAAATGAAAAACACGTACTCATCATTAACTTTATTTTGGGTTTCCTTATCCTCCATAGGTACATCCTCAATAACAGGATTCAAATTTGAACCATTTTCCAGGACCTCATCCGTTTTGGTATCATTGTCTTCAAAGCGTATCCTTCTTTTGCAATTTAGCTTAGCTCCATCGTCGGTACCCACTTGACTGGGTGTCAATAACAGATTATCAGATTGACATTTCCTGCAGTATATCAGGTAGCAGTTGTTACTAACAAGACATTGCTACAAATGACACAACTAAGTCAACGAACATGGAAGCACAGATTTTATGGAACATATAATTCTCTAAAGAGATAATATCACGCACTCATTACTGGCCAGTTTCTGATCTTGGTCAGTTTGCTCCATCATCACTTCTTCAACCACACAATGATCACCTTCCGATAATTTTTCTTCCTTTACAAGCTCTTCGAGGTTATCTACATTCCTAATCCCTGATTCACTGCAAGCAAGAAGGAATGAAAAAAGTACAACACAACCAAATGTAAGTCAAAAAAATGATTGAAGAAGCAAACGACCATATGTTAAACAGATGATAGTAGGTTAACTTAGCTATTGCATTTGTAGTTCATTATTGTTTTATATGCTTATCTGTTTTTATCAAAGAACGACAGCAATCGTACCGTTCAAGCTGAACACCATTAATTCCTTCTAACACGGTAGCATTATCTTCAGTCTCATTGTTGTTACAGTTACCAGTTTCTTTCCTAGCTTCTCCCCCTATATCGTCTTTTCCACCCTTTGATGTGCATTTTACTGAAAACAGTGAGGATAGAGGTAAAGCATCTTCAGCTTCACTGTTCAATAGCTCCCTAGGAGCAACAACATTGGTGAAATCCCTTTTCTGAGAACTTCCATTATCAGATTCACTTTTCTGGTACTTCTTCCTAAGTTTCCTATGCTTTCCTCTTCGACCCTTAAACTTTAAGCCCTGCAGTTCTTCATTTGCTGAAGTAAGACACGAAAAAATGCATTTAAATTAGAAAACAAATGGTCAAAAATTCCATGTAAGAGATGTGGTGAGACATACATCCTAACCCAGCAGGAAATTCTTCAGCAGATGAGAAGGCTTGTGGATCATCATCATCATCAATAAAACTACCACCATGATCACTTTCTTCACTAATCTTGGTCTTTTCGGGTTTAGTCTCTGCAATATCTTCTCCATAGGGTTCTCTAAGCAACATGGTTAAGGGAACCCAATAACATGAAGTAAATCCGGAAACTGAAAAACTAAAGGATACGATTCATCACTGCGATGATGATCAAGGGAAGCAGGGCCCAGATAGTAACCGGTAAGATGAACAGTTCGAGGGCCAATAACAGAGAAAACGACTTCATCAGATTCCTCAAATTCCAAATTGAGTTGACAACAGTCTGCCAAATCAGGGAACAAACTACAAAGAAAAACCGGCCTACTATTTCCCACATTACATTGAACTATGCTTTTCTGCACTCCGTTACCCATTCCTAATGTCGCCTGACAAAAACATATTCATGTACTTCCTTTTAAAGATTTTGATTTCGGATAATTGAAAAACAAGAATTAACACAAGTACCTGGGATAAATGAAGCCTTGCATTGAGAGGTGCATGAGTGAAGGGCTTCCCAGGTTTCACTTCGATTCCTAGAAAATGTTAACCGTAATTTCACTTTTACAAGAAAAAGACAAAGAAAATAAATGAAATCATAAAGAAGAAGAAAGCAAAGGGTATAAGAAACTAACCCCAAAAAGCCATCGAAGAGATTACAGAGATGGGTTTTATAAGAAATAGAATCGAGTTCTGGGTAAACCCATATTTATAGTGCAAGTTGGAGGGAAACCGAAGCGTCAAAGAGGCGACAAAATCCCTAGAGGTTTATACGTGATCTCGTTTGAAGATTCTCCTTAAATTAAGTTAACAATGTATAATACGTAAATATATCAATTATATGTAGTAAAAAAATGGATAAAATTTAAGATTTTAATATTTAAAAATATTTTAACATTATAATTTAAAGTTGAAATGTTCATTTTTTTTCTTTGTAATATATTTAATTTATCATTTTTGTCCTTATCATATTTTTGCGTCCATTTAATTCTTGAAATTGCTCAAATGCACGAGTATTTAAAATATTTATTATTTTTTAGAGTTTTTAGTTAGATTTTGTGGTTTAGAGTTTTTAGTTAGACTTTGTGGTTTAGAGTTTTTAGTTAGAATTTGTGGTTTAGGGTTCTAAATTAGAATTAGAGTATATAATAATTCAATTAAAAAACTTTAAAGATTAAAGTGATAAAAAATATCATAGAGACAAAAATATAAATTAGGTCTATGTAACAAAAGTCACTCTTTTACCTAATTTAAATCACTTTTAGAATTATATTAAAAATACTATTTAAATCTAAAATGTTTATTATATCAAGTAATCTTTATTATTCGAAATTTGGGAATCATGTTTTATATTAAAAATATATTAAAAAAATTATTTATTTTCTCGTCTAAATCCATTCTTCTCTCTCACCAGTTTATTTTTTCTTTCCAAATCTCTTGCTCGTATGAAAAAAACAACAATATCTTTCCAAAAAATCTCATCTATTTATCTTTTATTTAATTTTTTATTAAACAGATTGATTATAAAACAATAAATATCTTTTATATTCTCAACTAATTAATAATGACTCGATCATCTTTGTTGTAGTTAATGGTGTTTAAACTCGATAACTCTAGAAAAAATAATCATTATTTTAATTAGGAGTATTAAAATATAACCGACCTGAATTATTCGACTCGTCAACCTGGTGTAAAATTATCAGATACTTTAGAAGAAAATACCTGATTTTATAGGTCAGGTAAAAACAACCAAAAATAATAGCGACCTATTATTTTTGGTTTTTTTTTGGTCGAGTCTAGGTCACAAAATTATTCTTAATCGGGTACTCGTCGACCCACCAACCTGATTTCTCTTTTTTTTATTAGTATTTTATTTTAAATTACACTTTTTATCTCTAATTTTAAAATTATTTCACCCTAACATGTTCAATCTCTTTTTTTCAAATTATTTCACCTTAACATTTAAATTATTTCTTTTAATCTCAAATTATTTTAATTTTTTATATTTTATTTTTAGATTCCATAATTTGGATTTATAAATTTTAAGTTTATATTATGTATTAAAATTTATGTGGATTTTTAAAAAAATTATATAAATCATATAATAAAATAAAATAAATATTAAGAGGGTACCCGTGACAAAAAATGTAGGTGTCTAGATTTTATGGGTACTCGATTTATGTGTACTCGCCTCTTATTGACCAAGATAAGAGCTGAGTTTTTGTGACCCGAAAGTCACTAGCACCTGAATTTGAACTCCCATACATTTAACCACTTAGGTAATTTGATTCGTGCCTCTTTTCTCCAAAATTGATTCATTTTTTATAACACTAATTTATCTTCTCTCGTAATCGTTTATCTAGATTCAAAATATCAGGGCTTGGGAACTCTCGTACAATTCAAATGTTGGAGAATTTAATTGCTCGACAATATCCTAACCTATTGTTCCTTTGTGAATCGCCAACATCCTCGTGTTGAGTTGCTTAAACAAAGACTAGGTATGGTGGGTTGTTTGTATGTAGGTAGTATTCTATCTTGTATTGGTCTCGTATTATTATGGAAGTCCTCTATCTTGGTGTAGTTTCTTTCTTATTCGAATCTGCATATTGACACAGAGTAGGGTTCAATGACATCGATTTCGTTTTACCAAGATTCACGGTTGCAGTGACACAAGGCAACATTATACTACATGGTCTCTAATTGATCAGTTACGAACTCACTATAACATTCCAAACATCGGGTTAGTGACCATATTGCAAGATTTTAAAATTTTATGATCAGGTTAGATAAATTAAAAAGTTTAGGGACTTAATTTGAAATTTTGGTTTAGGTCAATTTACAAGGATAGAAAGATGAAAGGGCAAAAAGGTCTTTTAGTAAGATAATGAATTAAAAATTGGTTATGATTATTTATATAACCACGTGGAGCAAAGAAGAGAAAGAGAAAAAGGTTTTCCAGAAAACTCTTCATCCTTCTTCCTCCTCTCAATGTGAGCTCCATAGCTGAGGTGAGTTCTTATAAGTTGGTTATTTCTTGAAATTTAAGTTTAGTTATGCTCTTTGGGTGATACATAAGCTTAAGGAGAGCTTAAGATTTCTTAAAACCAAAAGATGCGGAAGTTATGAATGATTACGAGTAAGGGTTTTTTTAATGAATTATTGAGGAAGAGTTCATAAATGAGTTTTGAAATGAAATTTAACTTGTCATATGTTGGAATAAGAAATCTAAAGTGCTAGAAATGGATTTAGAACATATTGAATAATTGGTATGATTTTTGGTTCTAAATGTTCTATGAGAATTTTTTGATGTTAATGTTATAGTATGCCCAAAGACCAATCATATGATGATTGTAATAATACTTTTATTTATCGATTTTATTGAATAAAGGCATTACCGCTATTATTTTCAGTTATATATATGTGTTTAGCATAAACTGGAAGATAATAAAGTCCATGTAATGACATAATTGTTATTATTAAAAGATCCCTAGTCAAGTATTATTATGGGCATGGACAATAATAATACGCTTAAGACTAACATGTTATTGATTGATGACAATGAGTTGTCATTGACATAGAGATGTCAGAATTGATACATGATTATATTGTTAGAGAACAATGTATTGGATTGACCACCATGAGCATATGTCTTGGATTATTATGTGACAATCATAACATTGCTCATGGTGATAACTATATGTATGATCCTCATACTTGAGAACAATACTATCCCAACATATATTGTTGTATGTTTTGATGCAGTTAAACAAGCTCGATAATTGGTTGCTCTATAAAGACTGTTATTGAATATATCTCAATATATGTAGTGGGTGTGTATGATTAAGATAGGATTTGTCCTTCCTACATAATAGGAAATATATCACAGACCACTTGATTGAGTGAGACTAGAAACGCATGGCCATGCTCGAATAAGTTGATATGAGATATCACAAACTATTCGTTAATTAAAGTCTACTCTAGATATCAAGAAACAATAGATGGGCTATACAAGTGTGACTATTCCAAGACTTGTGCCTATTCTAGATATAAAGGACATAAGGATGTAATACATAAAAGAGTTAATCACCAAGATGATATGTCGAATCATATTTTCTTGTAACTTAGGTGACAATGATATATTGCTAGATGTCACTCATTGTATGTAATTTTAGAATTGTTCTAATAATTACTACTAACGTTACAAGAACCTACAGGGTCACACCCTAGGATTGAAATGAGCAAAGATGTACAATTTGTTGTACGTTACTAAAATATATCTAAAGTTAAGATATGTATATTTGATATACATATGAATTAAATTATCCCGAATATATTAAGTAAGCATTAAAAGAATGTAATTTATATTACAACTCTTTTAATTGCTATATATATATATAATTTGGAATAATTAAATAAATGTTTTAAGTAAACATTACAGATTGTAATTCTGATTATAAGTCTCTAATGTATATTTAAGTTGAATTAATTAAATAATATTTTATTTATTAATTCAAAACAACTTTAAAAACCCTAAGATGTTAGGGTAATGGATATAAAAGGGTGTGTTAAGTCTAGCATCCGTTTTGCAACACACACACAAACCCTTCAGCCGTTTTCTCTCAAAACAGTTTTGGGGAAAACAAATATTGCTCTCAATCGGGTGAACTGAGTAGAGGCCGAGACGTGATTTCGTGGAGGCTTTCGATTTGAATCGATCTACACCATCAGTATTCACTGCTGTTTTTGTTGTTTTTCAAGGAACCTGTTGTAAGTATTCGCATCCTTTCCTCCCGATTTTGGTTTTTCGTACTTGGATCGCTGGTGAGACCGTCGAGTTTTGTTTCCGCTGCGTCATGGGGTGCGCCGACGGTCCTAACAATTAAAGTATGTTAAAGTGTGGTAAGGTAATTTTAATAAGCATGCTATAGTTTGAAGGTTTGAAAGGAGTTAAAAGTAAGGGTTATGGATGGGTTTGGTAAAAATTCAAAATGAAATAGGAGATTTCTAGGCAAGGGGTATCGGTACTGGATGAACAGTACCGATACTCCAAAGCAAAAAGTAGGTCATGTTTGGGTTGGGTATTGATACTAGATGAACAATATCAATACCAGAAGCTAAAAGTGGATAAATCCTTCATAGAGTATCGATACTGAAGAGTTAGCATCGATACTGAAAGGTTAGCATCAATACCAAGAGTACTGATACCATTATGCAAGTACCGATACCATTTTAAAGATGGAATTCCATAACAGAAAAAGGGTATTGATACTGAAGTATAGTATCGATAGCACAATAAGGAAGTATCAATACTATACCTTGGGTACCGATACTATTCAAAATGAAAATTTGAATTAAGTACTTCTTTTAGCTTACGTTATTGATGATTGATTCATAATGCTTAGAATTCTGAAATTTGTATCGAATATATATTTGTGTAGATATCAAATCAAACAAGTTTCAGAACAGTTGACGAGTTAAGATCGATCAAGAGAGAGATAAAGAGTTATAGGAGTTGATTGGACTAAGTGAGGCTAAGATGAGTGCATATTACTATGACATATGATTTTATGGAAACTAGACTTGCGATGAGTATGTTTCTCATGTTTTTCTTTCATGATTGCATTAATACTAAAATGTGATTAATATGGTTTCTATGGGTATTTGAGTATATGAATATTTAATATATGTTACTTGCAATGTTATACATGAGTATTATATTATATGTTAGTCTATGTGTTATATGAACT